CTGCCTTGCTAAGCAAGCTCTTGGTTTTTAACCTCTGTCTGACTTCTGATTTTTGCTGTTTTTCTTTTACTTATCTGGCCATAATTCACATGTTAGCCCATCGGTGTATTCTATCTCTATGTGGCTTAGACCCTCCTGACTCCAGTGGAATGAGTCAGGGTCTGGCCCTAGGGTCTCTGGTGGGGGGTGGGTGCTCACTCTGGTCCTGCCCCTCTTTAGCACACAGGTGAAATCTGCCTAGTTCCCCAGCTTGAGCCAAGAGGGAATGTTGCATGTGCGGGTAAAAGAAACTAATTAACTATTCCTACTTAATATAGCCCCCTCCTAGTGAGATGACTTCCTTACAGTTAAGTGCTCTCATCTACATATTTACAAAACCATGCTAGAAGCCTCAGGAAATTATTAAAAAGTAATTTATCTTCAAGTTAGCCATCAGTGGTACACACACATTTTTAAAAAGAAAGGCCATGTTCTAAAACGAGCACTTAGTAAGAACACCCAATTCACCTAAAATATTCCCCCAAATATTCATTTTCTTTCAACCATTCTTATCAATCCTTTTACTAAATTCTCAGCATACACTTAAGAGCGTAATAGCAGCCTTTCCTGAATTCTTCAGCCCCTCAGTTCCCTACAGAAAACTGTTTCTCTAGAGATGATGTTTTCTTTGAAATGGAGGCCATATGAGGTAATCTCCTTCTATATATGTGCATATTTACACCATCCTGTCTTTCTTCCTAAGAATCTGGGAAACAAGGAAGGACACCTCCTCACATGTTCTGCTCCCATTCACTCTTGTCTCCAGGGAGAACCAACACTTTATCCCACTGCCCACCCCAACCTCCAGCGGCTCAAGGCTTTCTCACAAGTCAGTCAGAAAAGTGGGTTCTCAATGGACCTTGAGGGCTTAGAGTTTTTATCAGCTTCTCAAAGGCTTCCATGAGAAAACAACAACAACAGCACAGGGAAGGACGGCTGAGAGGGCAGCCCCATCCCCTCTTCCTCACCGCTACCCCATCACCCCGGCCTTCTCCCCTCTGCTCACAGCACTCGCCCACCAGCAGCCAGCCTGTGAGCCGAAGAGTGGCTCTTTACCACAGAAACTGCTCTTTCCCTATCTTGAGCATATCTAGGCTTGATTCTTCTGCTATTGTCTGGGCCTCACCCTACAGCCCAGCCACTGTAACTTGTCTGTGTTGGATCAGGAAAGCCCCCTTTGTTTGGCCTGGGGATGGAAGAACTAGAGAAGTTGGTAGAGGCGGAGGCCTGGGGTAGGAAGTGAGGGATGCCACCACAGGGTCCGTCACAGGGGCCCCAGCTGGGGGTGCTGAAGACTGAAGCAAGCAGAGATGAGAGGCCAGATGCGTGGCTCTCTCTGGTCTCAATACCAACAGGAACACAGCCAGGTGCTCTCAATTACCTCAGCCTCCTCACAAGGCCCAGGCTTGACATGCTGGGATCTGTCCCATGCTTTTGGCTGGGGGCAGAGAAACTGTCTCATTTACCAAGGCCTTTCTGTTGTCAGCGCCTTGTCACTGGTCTTCCATTCAACAGGATCTTCAGATTTCCTGGTTCTTGGATGTGGCCTCACAACCCTGATGATCCATCTTATTCGATTCCTGAAACTTTTGTCCTCCTGGCCTCTGATTATGAAAGCCAAAGTTTAGTTAAGACTGGGGTGGACCAGTATCCCCTAAACTCTGGGTTCTGGTTTTAGAAAGAACCAGGATCTAGCAGGTATCACTCAAAGGTCTTCAAATATGAGGAAGAACGGAGCAGATAATTAGGGAAAATAGACAAGAAGGGGAGATACTAGCCAAAATGAGCATAATGTCCAAAGGACTCAAACTGAAGGCAGTGGAGTGTACAGACTATAGAGAAGAAGCGGGAACATCTCATTCACACATCGTAACCACTGTGGGAGGTAGGAGAAGCATTAGAAGGCCCATTGCACAGATGAGGTCAAAGATTGATGACTTCCCTCAAAGTTCTGGGCTTTTTAAACAGGAGAACCAGTACTCAGACTGACTCTCAGGAGTGAAGCCAGAGCTACAAGTATCTCTTTAAATTAACCAACTACTCCAATCCTATGGGCATTTCTCCAATATCAAACTTGAATTAACTTGATGGATGAAGGCCTTTCAGTAAGGAGAAAATGTTTCTATTTTGGGGCCCTGGGAGAATTTACCCAGAAAATTCTTTTTTAAAGTCTGAAAATTCTTTGGCAGCATCTTTCTAACCTCCTCCTTAGTCCTACCATGCTATTTGCATACCACCCCGTCAGCATTTTCCCTGGTCCCCCACCATGGCCTCACCCTACCACATTTCTGAGACATGTGACAGGCTGCAGGCAGATGGGGAACCTGCCAGTCTCCCCTCATGCCCACGTACAGGTCATTTTTTTGTCTTGCTAAAGAATGACTAACCAGTAACCGTTCTACCATGAAAATGACAAATGAAGATAACTATGTGTGTTCTTAAGAAAAGGTCTACTAAGGTACATTTTGGGGGCTTCTCCAGGGGGGCTCAGTGGTAAAGAATCCCTCCTGCCAATGCAGGAGCCTCAGGGGACCTGGGTTTGATCCCTGGGTTGGGAAGATCCCCTGGAGAAGGAAATGGCAACTCACTCCAGTATTCTTGCCTGGGAAATCCCGTGGACAGAGGAGCCTGGTGGGCTATAGTTCATGGGGTCGCAGAGTAGGACATGACTGAGTCAGCATGTACACGGGCACATTGTACTCATCAGAATAGAAAATATAGCCAGATACAGGATCACCCTATACTATCTGCTCCAGAGCAGATCCTCAGACCAGTCACAAGAGCCAGTTAGAACTGCTAATGGCCTCACTGTCAGGGAATACTTATATGCATCTCATTTAAATCCTTTAAGCTTCATTTTGAACCTTCTCTTCAATGTAGGAAGTGTCTGTTTATCTAAAGCAGTCTTTTGATCTGAATTATTTAAATGGTACATTCTGCTGGTTTTGAATAATGGAAACAACCTAGCATGTTACCTATGGATCAATTCATTGTACATTCCTCCTGTGTGCTGAGATCACCTTTCACAAGTGACTTTTTAGTCCAGATTTTTGCCATTGTATTTCTTTTTATTAAATGATTTTAATCAAAGAGAAATTTTTGTGCTGTGGTTTCATTGTGTTCCTTTGCTTTACTATTTGGGGAGATGTGTGCTAGCTAATATTCAACAAAAGTAGCAGAAAGAGTGGCCTGAAGTCCTACCTAAAGTATAATGCCCAAATCCCCTTGCTCCATCACTACATAGAGTAGAACACTTGAAGCATTATTTTGAGAAAATGTATTTTTGTGGTTGTTTGGGGGGTGGGGAGCACACAAGGAAGGTAGGAGAGAGTGGTGGTAGCAAAGTTTGAACTGTCAGGGATTCAGAGATGTTGGTTTCAAAATGGAATTTATCCTCAAATCCCAAGATTATAGATTTCCTCCCAAACTACATTCCCTACATGGTTTAGAGAGCAGTTGAGAAAGAAACTGCTCTCTGTATTTTGATTGACATTAAAAACACTGTGAAAATAGTTTGGAACTTGATCTCTTCGAGGGAATGACAATAATCAAACTATAGCTTTGCCTGCAGCCTTTCTTTCACACTTACTCAGAACTGTTCCAGGAAGAGAAACTCACAGGGAATTCTGTTCTCATATATCACTTCTAGAAGGAGAGGGAAGCATTCTCAAGAAAATTATCCCCAAACTTTTAAATATGAAGGCAGATGAATCTCAACACAAAACCACCTCTATTCATGGAATAAAATCAAATCGAGTCAGTCATTTGGAACTGGAAACCTTTAATATCCAGGTTTATTTTTGAAAAAAAAAAAAGCTCAGATATGTCTTTCTTGCCCTATACCACCTAGTCTTCACTTAAATTCTAGACATCCACGTCTGGTTTTGCCAAACACGTTAGAAGGATTTCACTATTCCAGCTCACAAGTCCATCTGCATAGTCTGATTAACAGATGGGATCCACAAATACCAAGTACTTTGTTCTCACTCATTTTTTTTTTTTTTTACCATGTATTGCCACTCAAATTTCCCCACCCTTTACAACCATCTCTTTCTAAAAGGAATTCCACGCTATTACCAACTAGCTGCCTTACACTACTGTCTAAGATGCCCCAATATGTCTGACTATCTTGAAATGAAAGCTTGCTCCCTGCCTTCCCAGAACAAACTATCAACCTACACCTTTTTCAAATTCTACAGTGACACTCAGGCATGCTTTCAAACAGAAAATAGGATTTCTTGAGAAATAGTTTGGTCAGATGTGAAATGCGATTTCTAAAAACACACCCACTAGCACATGCATTCTCTCATTATTAGGTTTTATAGGAAACAGATCACGGGAGGCATCTTCTGTCTGGGCAAATAGCAGATCAGTTACATTAACCCAGGTTATGCTAAATGCCAGTGCTCTGCCTCCCCCCACCCCTGACCTTATCTCCTTGCAGCTCTAGAAGTCAAGTCTTAAGCACTGGTAGCGAATAAAATGTAAATGCGTTTGGTTAAAAATTATCACTTTTGGCTTCTCATCCACCTAGAAAGTTATTGTTGTTTTTAAAGCAAAACCTCTTTAAATCTCTGATAATAAAAGATGCAGGAGAGACGGCTGGCATGAGCAAATAGGCACCACACGACTATTGACACTGGCCTATGGCGATCAGGTATAATCCCCAGGGCACTCCTGAACAAAACGCTATCTTATCAAGTTGCCAGTGGTCCCTGAATATAAGTCTTTCTACAATCTCTTCTCTCATCCAGACTCTAAGAACAAAACCTGAAATCTCATCCTGTTTGTCTTCCGGGAACATCTGCAGGGAAGCAAAGCCCAATCCCGAGCATTTGCGTGGTTTATTGGCTTTTATAATCTTGCATCTCCAGCTACCTTGCCCAGGAATGCTGACTGAAACCCAGAGAAAGCCCCCACGCTCTCTGGAGGAGATTAAAAGAAAGCCTTCTGTGCCTTACCTCGTAGGCTGAAACTTCTTCCCGGGGACTAAGTCGGAAAGGAAGGACTGATTTCTTTAAGCAGGAGCAGAGCAAGAGGGCAGGCAGGCAGGCAGCCTAATACACACTGCTCTATTCAATAAAACTCCAGACCGCCCTTCCTTAGCCCCTCCCAGAAGTCCATGCTAAGTGAACACATATCCCCTATGTTTACAGTCGGCATCGGTGGTATGCATTGTCCTGTAGTTTTTCTAATAGGCAGCCAATGACGACACCCCAGCCGAGGTGGATGCAGCCTGCCTCTGGAGATGCCTGTCATTCCCTAGGCATGCTCAGGAAATCACTCATCAGAAAAAACCAAGACCTAAAAAGCTCTGAAACTGCGTGCAGGCTGCCAAAACCAGCCTGCTACATGCCCTTTTTTGGTTATCCTTAGCAGGGCCTCTGGAAGTGAATCCATTGTCAGGAACAATCATAAGAAATGTTAATCTTGGAGAAAGAGGCTGTCTTGTAGAACACAAATGGAGCTTTAAAAAGAAAGCACAGTCCATGAAACTTAAACTTAACAGTCCGTACGTTTATTGGGGTGGGGGTTGGGAAAGGCTTTTTAATTGAGAGATAGCCTATTTCTTTTAAAAGTAGTTGTACATACAAAGTGGAATTTAATTGTGTATGCAATTTTAAAGCCTGAAATGGCTAGGACCCAGGTCCAATGTACAGGCTAAATTTTAAACTGAAAGAGGCACAGCCTCCTAAAATATGTGCTATAAAAACAACTAATCCAAAAAAAAAAAGCAGGTCTTTTTTTAGTAGAATAAGTATGCTGCCAGAAATTCATCCAGGCAGGGTCCCATAGACTTGGCTATCCTCTTTGATTTTCCACATCACCTTTCTCTCTCCTTCCCTCTCCCCTCTTTTCACTCAGATTTGGTGACAGATATTGCTGGAAGCTGTGCACAGCAGAGAGGGTGTGAAGGGATCCAGCAGCTGCTTTGGAGCTGGTGTGGATGGATGCATATGCCCACAGAGATGACACTGACATCCTCATGTCTTCTTGAAAGTACTCCAAGCGACTCTTCCTTGATAGGATATGTGCTGTGAGAGGATCAGAATTAGGAGAGGCTGAATTAAAATGAAATTAACTAGCCTGTGTGTATATATATTCTGTGGTCTTATACTTCTCAATACAGAATTTACTCAGTCGATCAGTACTCAATTCAGTAACAAGAGACTGTGAGCCAGGTGCTGGGGCTAGGTGCTACATTTCTGCCTCATTCATTATTGCTCTGTGTTTGGAGACTCTTCCATTACTGACCAGAAGGAGTTAAAATATTTTGCCTGGCTAATTACAAGCCCAGAAGCATGGTCTTCAAAACTCTTAGGTATAACTTGTATAAGCCTTTTTCCTATTTAGGAAGATCTGAATTAGAAATGAGCTGTACTTAGGAGAAAGTCCCTGCCCATTTTGCCTCCCTCAGAAGACTGGGGAAGTGACTGAGCCCCATCATGGCTTCCTTCCTCAGTTCCAAAGCACTAAGTTACCCAGAGGCATCTCTGTCAACCTACACTCACCTTTTTGGGGGAAAGGCTATTCTGTCCCCTCTTTCCAACAGCTATTGCAGCACGGCCTAAAAAAAAAAAAAAAATCTACAGCAAAGGCTGCCAGGCGGAGGGAGAGGTGAGCTCCAGGCATCCCAAGTTGAAACCCAGAATGCACTTTCCCAGGGAAGCAAAATAAATAATGGCTTGTGGGAATAGGACAGTCACTGCTGCATTTCAAGTACGCTGTGGCTCAACCAGGCATTTGTGGAACACCACTGTTTATAAAAATTGTTCCTCTGGGAAAATGCTCTCTGATCCCAAAGAAATGATTTGGAAATAAACTTTGGGAACACAACCAGTTTGGGCTGCTGGGGACAGGTTGTAAAGATAGAATAACACTCCGTAGTCTGATAAACTGCTGAGCTTGAACACTTGGTAGGGCAGGCATCCATAAGCTCTGAAAACAACTCGGCTGGTGAAGTTTATGTGAAGATAGGACCTGTGTCCAGAGAGGTTTGGTGCCTGTGATCTCCAGGAAGTATGACTGTAACTCATTGAGGACTGTTCGATGTGCTGCTTTCCATGGCCACCGCTGATTATATCCTAAGCAGCATTCTCCCTGCTTGTTTGAGTAATACCCTTTGGTTGAGCAGGATCAGGGCAGGATCATCTATGAATAAAATAAGTACCAGCTTTCCAGAGGAAAGAAAAGTTGTGCTACAAATGGGGAAAGTATTATCAGCAGGAAACACAGAAAGGACATGCATTTTGCATGGTTTTTAGGAGATAAATGGCTAAATATTTTTGGATTATGTCTTTAGAAAAGAGACGTATGTTTCCCTAGATAAATTCTGAGTCCAGGGTTTTGTGGATGAGCAATCATTCAGCCTATTTTGTGTATTTGAAAATAGACTTATTGTGCAGGAACTATGTAGTTGGAAGAATAATTTAACAAATTTCATGTAATATACACCATGACATAGAAAAATTCTTTTTTCATTGTCCTTTTACTTTAAAAAAAAAAAGTAAACAGGAATAAAAAAGGAAAGGGAATAAAAAGAAAGAAAAGAGATATATGTTGCCAATCTCAGTCATGGGATAATAATATTCACTTTTTCCAGAAGTCATTTGTAAATGACACTAAAAATACAGGATTTACATAAGAAACTTCTGTGGAATATATTTCCCACTTGGATCATCCCAGATAAAGAACAGCTTGCCTAGCATAGGCTGTATCTACCTGATCGAACCATAACAACTCTAAAAAGACATTTGGAAACACCTGGATGATTCATGGTATTCTTTCATTTCCAACTGAGGATTTGCCAGCTTGCAGTGGTGAGCAGTTTTATTTTGCTAGTGGGTCAATTTGGGAAAAGTAAAAGCAAGTCATACTTTTCTCATTCAAAATTAAAATTAATTCATTGAGTTGCATGAAAAATATACATTCTTCCAACTTAAAATATCTACTTTATTGAATTGCACAGATATTTCAAGTATTTTAAAAGGCAGTAAAACAACCTGTCTCCCCTACACACATACCTTCTTTTACTCAAATGAAGTATGTCCAGAAACTCAAGTTTATAAACAATAAAATCAGATTGGTAGAATGTTAATATCAAATTGGACAACAAAAATGGTAGAAAAAAAAAAGAAAGAAAGAAAAAGAAAAGAAAATTAGACTAAATGTACTTATGAACCTAGATGAAAAAATTAGCATATTGAATCTAACAGTGCAAAAAAAAAAAAAGACAGGGCCAATTCTGTGATGGTCAAAATCTGAAAATCTATTGATATATTATACACTATTAGCAGTTTAAACGTCTATAAAAATAGAAAAAAAGGAAAGTGAAAGCTCATCTCAATAGATAAAAAATAATGCTTGGTAGGACTGATTGGAAGGACTGATACTGAAGCTGAAACTCCAATACTTTGGCCACCTGATGCAAAGAACTGACTCATTGGAAAAGACCCTGATCTAGGAAAGATTGAAGGTGGGAAGAGAAGGGGATGACAGAGGATGAGATGGTTGTATGGCATCACCAACTCGATGGACATGAGTTTGAGCAAGCTCCAGGAGTTGGCAATGGACAGGGAAGCCTGGCGTGCTGCAGTCCATGGGGTCGCAAAGAGTCGGACATGACTGAGCGACTGAACTGAAACTGAATGCTTGGTAAAATTAGTAATCACTTATAGGAAAAAAAAAAAAGCTCTTAAAAAACTAGCACCGGAATCTTTGTAAACATAAGAGAGATTTACCAGAAATATAGAGCAAACATCACAATTAATGATGAAATTTAGAAGTATTCCCATTATAATTGATGAAAAGACAAGAATGACTATTATATCTTCTGCAGTTAAAAAATGGATTGGAAGTCCTAGCCAAGACAAAGAAATAGAAAAAAGAAATAGCTCATGAAATTAGAAAGAAAAACATGCTATTTGCTATGATATGATTTATTTATTTGCTATTTATTTGCTATGATATGATTATTTATGTAGAAAGAGAATCATCAAATATATTAGAACTACTAAAAGAGGTTAGCAAGATTATTGGAATCAAGTTCAGTATGCAAAAATTCAGAGTTTCTGTAACCAGCCATCTTTAATTTTAAAATATAGTGGAAAAATATGTTATTATTAGCAACAAAAGTGTGCATTACCTGGGAAATAAATGTAACAAAATATGTGCAAGCAAATTACAAAATGCTTATGTCTTGGATTTAAGGACATAAAAGGTCTGCCTGAATGGTGAAATATATCACTTTTATAAAATGGCAAACCTCAAAATTATAAACATGTAAATTCTTCTCATATAAACCTATGCATTTACTATTACAACTAAAATCCCTAAATGATATATTTTATAGAATTTGACAAAATAATCCTAAAAGTAATATGGAAAAGTAAAGATCTAAAGAAAAGCACCAATATATTTATAGGACAATTCTAGTTAAAATAAGACAAATAGATTAATAGGATAAGGTAGAAAGCTTAGAAACAGTCCCAAGCATTTATGAAAACATTTAAAATAATAGTGAAGGCATTATAGATTAGGGAGAAAATGGTGTCTTTTTCATGGTAAGGTTACAACCAATTATATGAAAGTAATACAATTAGATTCAGAATTTCCACCCACAGCAAAAGAATCTAGACTACATGAAAAACAAAACTTGAAAATGATTAGGAAAAATTGTAGGAGAATATATTTAAGATAGAGGATGGCAGAATTCTTAAATCATAAAAAACAGAACATACAAATGAAAAGACTAAAAAAAAAGATCGAGGATATGGTTAAACTCAGCAGATTAAATGCACATCCCTCATTTATTTCTGCTCCTTCCCCAAATCTCATCAAAATGATAACAAAGAAATAAAAAATCATAAATAAATCCTACAGGGCAAAGTACTGGAAAAGAGTCAACACAGGTCGATGTGAGCCAAATTCTGAAATATGGAAAGTGGACGGATGGTTAGTAATTGACTTACCAGAGCTGAGAAACTGAACTCTGGCCCTGTGGAGCAGAAGGCTGATGGACAAGAAAGAAGCCAATTATAACCTCAGAACCAGGAAAAACTCAGGATGTGGAAGCTTGGGAATCACTGAGATGAGAGATGGAGCAGAAAACAGGTTAGGCTGAAAACTCAAATAAGGAACAGTTAGAAGCCTAGATTCTCCTCTGCCCCCACCAACCCAGATGCCCACCCCTCACCCTACCAGACAGACATGAAGTTGCTTTTCTGAAGGGAAGTGCTGGCCTCAGAATGTCGGGCAAAGCAGTGGACAGAA